CAGCACCTCCATCCTAGCATACACCTATTCTTTCTTCCACTCAAAGACTTGAAACATTAATCAATAGAAGAGTGATCTTAAGAAGAAACCTGATAAAAGCCTTCAGCATATCAGGGCGTGTCAAAAGTCTTGAGAGTAGCAAGCCAGAAATGGTACGCATGGGGCCTGCATTTGAAAGATAATCCTTGCAGAACTCCAATATCCTAAGTACCAGGGGTGATGGCTCATCTCCTTTTAAATGGCCAGTTTGTGCAATACTTGTGTCAACTGAAGATATGTCAAACGGAACCAGAACAAGGATAGATAGCCACAATAGTATAACACATTTTGCTTCCATCTCTCCAGTGCTTTCATGGCGCAGGGATGTTGTCGTATTTGAAGAATGGCACTTCTCTAGGAGAGACACAGCAAGTTCTAAGTCAGAAACCTGATGTGGGAAAAACTTGGTAACAGCCTTGTATCCACAAACAGTAACTAATGTGTAGATTATTATGCAAACAGGTTTGACCACTTCAAGAATCTCGTCAGACTCTGCTCCTAGTTCAATTATTTTGGTACGGATGATGAACATCAAAGGAGAAACTATGCTTTCAAGGTAAGGCTCCAATAGTTGTCCTTCCTCCTGATACTTGTCCATCTACACAATAAAATAAAACAATCTTCAGTACTATGGAGAAGCAAGCAAGAAACACAGCTTCATTGACCAATAGAAATAATGGGTAGCCTAAAAAATGATATTAAAACACCAACAAAAGGCCACAAAATGACCAGATTGGATAACCCTGCAGGATAATCTATAACCAAATTAAATTTTCTGGGACTAGCATAGTCCCCATGTTGACAAGTTTTTATGAGAAATTAAAGCTTTCACATTTCTTTATCAATCCCATGGCTACAGAGTACTGCAAACAACTCCATGCTGACACACAAGAGTATTGCACAGGAAGATATCTAAGTGCTTTTAGCACATTAGAAGAGGTAATACGGAGAAAAACAAGTGCTAGAAGAGTCATCTTGAAATAAGGATGCTACCAACAATATCAAGTAATTGCGTTTATAACAGATTTACGCGCACCCTTAAATAAAGATCGAACCATTTGTGGCCTGTGGATATTATCTTAGAAATCAGGAGAGGCCCTGTGATTAGGTATGAATTTTACTCCCACAAGTGAATGAGAAAAACCTCTACACATCGACTGGGATATTACTTGATAAAAATTACTCGTAACCCTACCATGCTCAGTAATTTATAGCCTCAAAACAAATGCCAGACCTGACAAGAAACCTTGCAACACTATAACTGCTCGAAGCCCCCCCCCCCCTCTCTTCTTCCAACCCAACCAATCTCTACTCTTACCAACAACTCACAAATCTATGTCCAAAAGATATCTCAGAATTGTATAAATCACCATTAACGTCACTCGGGACCTAATTTACATCCTCTTAACCCGTCCCCAGCTGATTTCTTGTTTTTCCTTTACATAATTCAACAAAAATAATGACATTGCAACACAAGTCAAAAAATATTCCTATACATCCACGCATTGACGCCATTCCACTCTTTGAAATCATCCGACGACAAGGAAGCCATCTAATTCAGATAAACGCAACTATAAAAAAAAAATAATCAGCGCTAATGAACAACCAATACAACTATAGAGGTAGGCAACTGTAATAACTAAATTGAATTACTTCGTAACTAATACGCAGATCAATTCTATCATATAATTACTAATAAATTTCAATACATTGATAAAAAAACCAGCTCCATTCAAATGCAACACTTTCTATAGCAATCAATTTATAATCAAAAACCCTAAAATCAACTTTTAGCAACAAAACTACGAATCAAAACACCTATAAACAACAATCAAACGTAGGAAAGATAATCAATGATTAAAAGCGGGAGAGAGAGATTACAATGGAGCGGATCTTGTAAGCGGAGGAAAGATCGGTGACACGACCAGCAGAAACGATTTCGTCGAGAATGGATTTGACGACATTCCATTCTTGAAGGAAGTACTTTTGCAAAACCCTTTCTTTGCAATCGTATTCGTCATCTTCTTCAACCTTCTCATTTGCAGTTTCTCCGCCATTGTTATCCAGCTTTGCTGCTGTTGTATCTTCCATCACCACCATTTTTTCTCGTGTTTCTGTTTCCCGCCACCAGTTATACACTTGATACAGTTTATAATTTCATTGGGCTCTTGTGTTCCTAATATTAGAGTGAGTAATTGGGTGGTTGAAAATTGAAATGGGTACGATTAAGGTTTATTCGGTTCGGGTCATGTTCGGTTCGGGTCATGTTTGAGTTACATTTGGATAATGTGATGTGCAATCGGTTTGAAATTTTGGATTGAGAGACTTTGAGTTATAAAATTCTCGGAATACATTGTGCTTCGGAAGTTTGTTTTTCTTCTGCCCGTCATGCCAATAACAAGTCTAGAAAAAATTGAGTCTACTTAAATAAAAGTTTAAGTGAATATAAGGGAGGTTCAAATGACATAAGATTGGTCAAAAATAATGAGTCAAATTCAACAAAATATAAATTACAAAACATAACTCGATTTCAGTCACTTAATGTTATCTGAGCTCGCTACTAAAGATCCACTCATCAATTAAAATTGGTCCACCATGATAATAAAAATAGGGTCTTAATATTTCATTTTCAATGCTCGATCTCAATAAGAGGCTTTGTTATTAATGTTCTTAAAGCAATTTATCATGTAAATGAGAAATTTGATAAAATCTTAACTATAACCTAGTCTATTACTTATTGATAATAGTGTAATATTCATTCAAACTTAATTTGACTTAGGTTAATCCCTTATGTAATAGTTGGGATACATGTGTTAGGCAAACTGTCCAAACTTATTAATGGAAATATTTTCATTTAGTTCATTAGTAAATTCATCATTAAAAGGGTAATTTATTGATAATAACTTACTTCATTTATTTTTCCTTTTGAAGTTTCAACTATTGCAATATCAAGCTACTCTATATTTTTTATTTTTTTGTGGAATTTGGTTGGCAAGTGACAAATTGGAGTTTATTGCGCATTATAGGATTGATTTTATTGATAATGTTAAGGAACTTTTTGCTCCAATCAAAACTTGTAGGATTGATTTTCTCATAAGGTTTAAATGTGGGGTTAAAAACTCTAAAACAATCTCAAATCATTTGCTTGTTTGATCAGATATGAGAAGTATTATTACTATACTATATTTTCTATTGTAATTTCAACTCTTAATTAGGAATTGACACCGGCGGAGCCAGGGTGGGACAGCTCTCCCCCCACTTTTTTTTTTTTAAAAAAAAATCAATTTAAATACGTTAGTTTGTGCATTATAATTTGTTGCAAATGAAATGGTTCAGCAGTGCAAGCATGACTTGTGGAGCCATAGAACGCGAGATCAAACCCCCTGACGTTCATTTTAGAGTCTTATTTTTGAATAAGTGCAAATGACTAGATATGAAGTTTAAACCCGCAATATTCTTGTAACAATCAATTGTTGCCTTAATGGTTAGTTAAATGAGCTTGATTCAAGAGACAGTTCAATTTTTACAGTAACCATTTCACTTTTTTTAAAAAAAAATATAAAAAAAAATTCCTATTTTTTTCCTTACAATTACTCCACAAATTATTTGAATAATTGTAATTGTAGTTTTGCATGAACAATACCCCAAATTACGTTTGTAATAGGGAATTATGACAAGTACTACATTTAATTAGCTATATTATTTCATGTTCAAATTGTTCTAAAATTCTAAGCACATAATCAATTACTTTTATGGAAGAAGAATTGGTATAAAATGTTGGTTTTTTTTTTTTTTAATAAGTACTCTGTATTTTGAATTTTTAAATTTGTAAAACATCAACTAATTAAGTATATATTTGTTCCAACATTTTTGTCAAACTAAGTAATGTCGTCCATTTGTCCCCCCGATTTAAAATTCATGGCTCCACCACAATTGGTAGTTGTTTGGCTGAGTATAGAAAATTTCACTTACACATTTACATAGGAAGATCAAGGAAAATTACTTCCTCCATATTTGTGGGAAATAAAACCTTACATAAAGTGTAATTTTCATAATTTATCAACCAAATAATTTCACCTTCTTCTTTTTTCTCAAAATTCATGAATTTTGATGTCAACCAAACAAGCACTACACCTTAGGGACGACACTTATAAGTTGAATCTAACAATATGTACCCTTTTTCGCATTAATATAATCAACTTTTACATCCCATATAAATACAACTATACAAGTAATTATTAAGGTTCTCAAATAGTTCGAGTCGCCACATTTTAAGGTTAATTACTTAGTGAGTTAGTGGAGTAAACACAAGATGTTGTTGCACTTTAATACATGGGTGGAAATTAAGCTAGATAGTCAAAGACAATTGTAATTAAAATAAGCAAGAATTATATATACGAGTAGTAGTTTTTTTAGTAAGCCAATTGTAATCACGTGGCTGCGCATGCGCAACTTAAGTTCAACATAGGAGTAATCATCGTTGACTTTGTTTAATTTATCAACTAATTAAACTCAAATCTACTTTTAACTCAACATTATTTATTCTGTATGTTTGTACAACTCCTTTGTCCAAAAAAAAAAAAATGTTTGTACAACTTACTTGAGTTACATGTTTAAGTTTTCATATAACTAATAGGTCAAATTTTTACTATTTTAGTCTTACACCATGACTTTGTATCATATAATCAAGCTGTATAATACAACTCGCCGCTCTTTATTTATTATGTACATGTACAATTATATTTCGCAATAATTTGTAAATTACTTTGTACATTGATAAGAATAATTCTTTTTTATAAGCTATATGGTATGAATAATACATCAAACAATAGTTTTAGTACTAATTATTACTATTTTTGTAAGATAAGTTACGCTTCGAAGTTCATCTAATGCAACTCATCAATATCACGGAATAAATTGCTTTGGAACTTTGTAAGTAAAAAAAAAAAAAAAAAACATGATCAAGATGCTCGAGGGATATGTTCAAGCATGAACTAACATAGACGTTTACACGATCTAGCGATCTCAGAAAATGCTTATTGATCATAATTCATAATTACATTCTTCATTCAAACTTTATCTAGAGTATAAAGTGCCACCTTTTGCTGCAATTTGCACACGATTTTCATATAATATCATTATTACAAAACTTTGCTAATATTACCAATAATTACAATCTTTCCATTATTATACATTTTACTTTGTATAGGTCGCTTAACTTTGTAGTAAAAACAACAAACAAAGCATTCGTAGATCCAGAAAAAAAATACAGCTAAAAATCCATGAAATAATAATTACTTAGTATATATAAGACAAATTAGTAATGAACATTTAGCCATGCAAACAATATGATCATCACAAAAACATCCATCTTAATTAAGGACGATGGGTGCTACGAGAAAAACGATGTCTTGTAACGTAGCGATTAACCAAAGCCAAAGCATTACTTGTAACCTTAGTAACACCTTCGACCTTTGCCCTAACCTTATTCCTTACAATCTTCCCATGAACGTTGTCTTCAAAAGTCGCGGCACAATTAATTTGATCGGTAAGGGCTGTACTAGCCCAAGTCTCGACGTTACTCATATACCACAAAAATTCATCAACACCAACTTTGTTGGTGCATTTTCGGAGCTCCTTTAATGATAATCTAAGTTGGGCAACACTATCATTAATTTGGTCTATGCAATCCCCTATGGCTTGGGCCTCTTCCAAATGGGCTATTTCAAGCCTACTAGCCAACTTGGTCAAGTAGGATCTTGTAAATTTAGCCTCAGTTATACTAACCCTTAATGCGATCTGAGCTAGTTGCAGATGGCCAAGGTTGGTTGAGTTAACAAATTTTGCTAGAGATTCTTCACACACTTTGGGGAAGCTAGTGGCACTACATGACATGATAGTGAAGGCTCTAGCCCTAGAACACCGATGACAACTCATAACATTGCTGGCGAGGAGGAGGAGAGAAATCGATACCAGCAAGAAGGGAATGGTGTATCTTGCCATTAGCTTGATGGGTTATACAAATATTTCTTATGAAGTATTGAAGATGTTTAGAAGGATTTTGGAGGTGGTGTTTGAGAGGTATTAGAAGGGTGAGAAGGTGTATATATAGAAGGGAAAATTAGTGTCTTAATTATATGCCAGCTTTAGTTTAGGGTCAAATGTTGAAGGTAATCCCATGTGCATAATTAAGTGCAAATTGAGCTTAGCTTAAGGTCAAAGCACTATATATGATACTTAAGAGATGGATCTTTTACTAATAATTTATATGAACCTTGTTACTAAGAGGGAGACCTAGAAAGATCTGTAATAGATCTCTCTAATTCTATATAATTTTTAATTCATTTAATATAAAATGTCAAGGTATACGCATCTATAAAATCTGGTGAGCAAGATGCCTTGGAAGAAAAATAAGTTAATAATATGGTTGGGCACATAATACATAAGAAATTGAGATGTTAAATCTAGGGTTTCTCAATAGTAACAAACATGCTAATAATTTAATTATTGTATGAAAAAAGATTTAAATCCAGCTCAAAGTTAGGAGAATTATTATATACAACATTACAACATATAGCAGAATAAGAGTGCAATTTTTTTTTTATTTTTCCAACAAGTTGTTTACAATTTAAACCTTTTATAGTTTTTTTTTTTTTTTTTTTTTTACTTTTAACCACGACACTCTAAAAGGACATTTCTCATAATATAGACACTCCTAAAATATTAGAGAAAATAATCCCATACATTTTGTTTAGCCCAAGTCTTCGCTAAAAATGGGATCACGAAACAATTTTTCTATCAAAACTAAAATGCGAGTACAAAAATTGAATTTTGTTTTTCAAATGAATATCCCTGTGTATTTACACGAGTATACTCTGGTTCTTAATTTTTTAATAAAGGTAAGAAAAAGAACATTATAAACCCTCCTAGTGAGAATGAAAGGGATGTACTATATACATAGTATTAAGCAAGTGTCCATATAAAATTATGAATTGATATAGTAGTCTAGTAGATGCCAAACTTTAAATAAAAATTTGGGCCTTATCTAAAAACAATTTTTTTCATGTCTTATCTAAAAAGAATTTTAATAAAATTTGGGTCTTATCTAAAAAGAATTTTAATAAAATTTGTAAAAAGAATTTTAATTAAATTTGGGTCTTATCTAAGGAAAAAAAAAAATCTTCTTAATAATTCACATATATCACCTTCAAATATTTGTGACAATCACTTCAAATACAAGCAAAGGTGTTAAGTATATCCATTGTATCTCATAAAACTACCAAAATGCTAGTGGAGTAATATTAAGAATTTAAGACCAGTAGCATGAATAATTACTCCGACATAAACCACCAAGCTTGCATCTACTTCCATCTGTCTGTCAACTACTTATTATTAAAAAAAAAGGAAAATTAAAATGAAAAATTATTAGCCAACAGAAGCATTACTTCATGCTATTATGTTACTCCTATGTTACTAACAAACAACTACCCTATTTCCTTTCCCTTCATTTTTTCCCGACCTCTTTTTAACGGGATGGACTCGTAACCTTATCAACAGAAATTTGAAATAAATAGTATAAAATCACAAAATCACCGAACTAAGGTAAACTCCTCCCATACGCTAGCACAGACCTAACCCACCCGGGGATTCAAGCGCGGAGCTTGCACCACTAGACCATGCCAAAGCTTGGTGGCCATAAGGCAAATAATTAATTTGAAGAAGTTTCTAGCAACTAACCAGATGCATGGAAGGAAGGCAACATCAGGTGTAAGCAATGCAAGCATGTGCTTCAACTTGCACTAGCAGATACTGGTATATGCACGTGCTACTGGGAACAAGAGAGACTAGTCAATGAGATCAATATTACTCAATGTACCCCATATTATAAGGGTCGGTGTCCCAATATCTGATACAACTTACAATTCATTTAAGGGTGTTTTAGGTGTCACTCGTTTAATGTTAATTCAAGTAATTCCTCTCTTTTTTCCTACTCAAGGGAGTTTGATAACCACCATAGCATAGAGAATGGAGTCTTTCGGTCATGTGCCACTAGGGTATGTAAGAATTACATACCGATTAACCAGTTGTTTAAAATTAGGAATGATTGTTTAAGGACGAACGGTAACTATTAGCTAATCATAGTACAAGTAGCTTAAATTGCTACTGAGTAAATGATAGTTCTAGTACACTCCATAATTACTCCGTAGAAGGCAAGGAAAGAAAGATCCAAGAATTAGAATATGAATTATACATGCGTCCAACAATTTCACTAAGGTTTTCTTATATTTATTCCCAAATTCTTCACTTCACATGCACTATACAATTTCTTATAATCAATCTGAGCCTCAGCATATCAAACAAGGTTTGGTCTGAAGAAAAAATTTGTATCATGGTTGTCGAATCAAAACCCACCAAGGACTCTTTGACAGAGAGGACTCCTACCCCAACCCCCCGAGGACTCCTACACCAACCCCACCCCCCATCCCCCCCCAGACCCTCAACATCTGAGAGCTTTGCCCACTTAGCCATGCTGGATTAAACCCTAAAGGGTTCCAAGACTTCCAACCCAGTGAAGCCTCACCCACCAAAAACAAAAAACAAAAACCCAAAAAAACCCGAGTCTTTCCACAGTGGTCAGACACCAGCCCAAAGTAAGAAACCAATTTTGCAAAATCAGGAATTCAGGATCATAAGATGATAGGAAGGTTTTTTTTGGGTGCAAAGCAAAGAGCCAAGGAGGGGCAAATATGTCCTGGCAGAAACAGAATAAATCAAATAATTCAAACGTAAGTCACAAGGTAACAATATACAAAGTACTAAGAAAAGGTATGCACCGATCATCATATGCTATAATTCGAGGACCACCAGGTGCGCAAATGCTGCACCAAAATTGCCTTACGCAATAAGCATTACACTGTAGGACAAGCTTGAAGATGTAGACTCAACATAACAATTGGGAACCAATGCCACTAGCCCTTGAGGGCTTGAGGCCTCCGAACAATAAGCACATCAGGATACTCTATTCATACAACAACAAATTGGAGTAACACACTTAACAAAGAGGCACTACGAACAGAGCAACCAGCAACTACAAGGATACACTTAAACATACAGTAAGATAGACAACATTAAATTACATATTGAATAGCACAATGGGATTGTGATCAAACCGTCAAAGAGAAGACTCACTCAGCCACTTTCATGCCTGTTAAGTAAACTTTACTTTGAATTACTATGCCACCAATCCAAAATCCGGGCATAACCATCAACCCTGCCTTTGGTTTTTGCTCGCTTTCATCTAGTACCAGGTTTTTTACCACACTTTCCATGTAAACCTCAGAGAACTCTGTTCCCTTGTTGACTTGAAATACCTTGACACTCGGATCAAAAGAATGTGCGAGTCTATGCAAGAGCCAGATTGATTTTGCAAGTTTTAAGAAGGCCTGGTAGAAAGGGGTGCGAGGATGTCCACCCCCCATCACATAGTTACGCTGATCCAAATTACCAAAGAAGGAGGCCTCCATTTTGGGGTGTACCAATATTAGATACTTGCTCCTGCAGAATTTACCAAAAATGGAATCAGGATTCTGACCCAGAGCATCCAAAGGGTCCATTTCTCTCAAAGCAAGGTACTGGTGAAAGAAACTCTCTCTGTTTACTGAAAGATCTTCAGGTTTCTCTGTGAAGCTTTCCTGTTGAAATCCTAAGAACATTCTTTGGCATATACAGGATTCAAATGCATATTTCTTGTGAGATCTCTTTGCATAAACAACACTTGGTTCAATAGACTGAGCTGCAGCATCAAGGTCCCAACCAGCTGCCTTCATCATGTTAATCAATGGTTTTGAGAAGTCATGGATAGCTTTGTATACAGATTCTACAGTTGAAATGAACAGATCAGGAGTTAAATCCACAGGGAAAAATCCATTTTGCTCTCCAGAAGCTTCTGAGTCCCTTGTTGACAAGCCCCTAAGCTTGAGATTCTTTTCGAGTTTCTCTCGCTTTTGAGTAGCCTCTTCTATCTGATGCTGCAACTGATTTATCTCAGAATCTTTGTTCTGAATTTCTGACTGGAACTTTTTCACCATGACCTCATAAGTCTTCAATAAACTTTGCTGCTCTTGGATCTCTGCAGCTAACCGAGAATCTTGAGGAGATACACACATAGGCTTGGGATTGTTTTCCCTGTAAAAATGCTTAAGCTCTGATAGATTCTTCAGCTCTGCAATGACTTGTTTATCAGCAACTTGAATTTTATCAGGATCATAAGGAGTATGAGCTGATTGAAGCTGGATATAAGCAGTCTTCAAAGAGGAAATATTATTAAAGATTCTTGATATTAGAGCATCTATAGCTTCTACATTTTGATTCATGGCCTCCTCCATTGGTTGAGGGTGTACTTTCTGGCTATTGCTCTCACGAAGTTGACTTTCCTTCACTTCACTGGGTAGCATAGCTACTTCAACAGAACAGGTGGTCAAACAAACACCGCTCTCCCCAGAGCAATAACTGCAAGAATTATTTGCACAATTCACACAGCCATGATTATATAGAGGAACAAATTGAATCCAATGAAGAATTAAAACAGACCAGACATTTCATTTCATCACTGATAATTCAGCCATTAGCATATGGAACACAACTCAATGTCGAAACAAAACCGGCTTATAATCGATGATCAACGATACTTAACAGTGATCTAGGAATGCCTAACACTGGCACTATAACAATGCCCTATTAGCATTTGCCAGAATATCATATCATTGAAATGCATTAAAATTCATCTAAGCCAATATAAAGTGGTTCTCTTTCTCCAATCCCTAAATCATAGATCCAAGGCCGCCCAGGGAATGGGCATTAAGGGTTCAATCTTAGGGTTCGAAACAAGCCCAAATAGGAATAGACTCAGTTCGAGCTTGAAAAGCTATTTTCGGATCGATTAGTCTAAAAATGAAACACATTAGCAACCAAATTTGACTTAATTATCAAATTAGGGTTGAAAAATCACATGAAATCATTTCCGCTTAAGATTATCAACGTAAATTGCAAAAAGAAAAATTCTAGCAGCAAATTCGGCATATAAGCTTTCATAAATTCAGTAATTTATAATCAATTGTTCAAAAATTCACCTTAGAAGAACCCTAAATTGGACACTTAAATTCACGATAGTGTGAAATTAAAACCCTAGATCGTGAAATTAATATTCGATGATTATAAATATGAAAACATCTTACCTCAGAAGCAGTATTAATGGAGGAGAGAAAGCTAAGAAGCCAGTTTAATGGAGAGCTCGGAATCCGCTTTTATGGTGGAGGGAGAAAGGTGCAGCCTTAGTAAAAAGCTCGAAAGAGGAAAAAAATTGTAAACATAACAGTACAATGGAGGAAGATGATTAACGATGCGCATTATACCAACCGTCAGATCTAAATAATGCTCCGTATCAACAATCAGCATTCATTGGTGTTTTTACAATCCATTCTCGTTACGATGTCGTTTTGTAATGATCGTAACACTTTCTATTACAGTCTCATTTGGTTTGACATACTCGTAAACTGTGATAAAATGACATTGTGTAGCGCACTTGCGTTATTAGTAACATTGCTAATTCCAGCGATTAAAAAAAAAAACGCTAATACAAATATTAGTAGATTTTTTCATCTAAAGAGTAAATTTGCCCCTTGATTTGTACACTCTGTTTTTGTTTATCAACCACATAAATTGGGACAAACTCTACTGGATCTGTGTTCAAAAAAAAAAAAAAAAAAAAAAACCACTACTGGATCTATAGTTGCAGGAATTTGATTCGACAAAGGTAAATTGAATGGAATGCGAAAAAGAATATATAAAAAAAGGAAATGATTGACTTTGAATTCCCTAATCCCTTGCCTATTCAGGACTATTCCAAAGAGAGAATAAAGTTAAGTTTCCATTGTAATCATGTATCGAAAATACAATTTTGTGGGATGGTAACAAAAGAAATGTATTGATTGTTGAAGTTTCCATCATTCCAATTTGCAAACTCTCTACATCTTTTATGCATCTCCAAATCTCCTACTTCATTTTTTTCTCCGAAAGTTGTAGTCTCATTGATTGAAGACTCCCGTCTTCAGCCATAATTCCTAATTACCTATCTTAGATTTTTTTTCTAATTCTTCCCACTACAAATCGTGACAAAGACTACTACTTGGTCACATTAATCACTAAGAAGAGAACCAAAAATCATTTCCCACTTTTTTTTTTTTAATCTCCATAGTTAAGTGTTGAGAATTTTCATTCTATGAAGTTATAAACACTTTCTCTCCCTCCAAAACAACCAAATACCTCTCCGAATTCCTTATTGCTCGCTAGAAATTGTTGCATACTATCATCAATTTATTTTTTACCTTTTGCACATTTCACATCATAATTTTTATAGACATACGGAGTATAGAGTATTAACATTTGGAAAAATGGTACTCCATATCAAATATTGATTTTTTTTTAATTTTTTTTTTTAACTACAATATTGACTTTTTTCTTTTTCTTTTTTTTTTTTTTTTTTTTTTTATCTCTTAAACAAACACGTCAAAACTCAAATTTTTTGTCATTTACTTATAACGTCTTAAAATTTGAATTTTTACCGCATTTGCTCCCTCCTTCCTTTTCCGACATTTTTTCTCTGTACTCCCTTTTCCACCATTTTTATCTGCTTCGATCATCAATGGAAGAAATTTAACAGTCCTTTCGTTTTTCTTTGTAACCTTCAAATTGTTCATTTCTCTCTCCTCAAACTTAAAACCCTCTTTTCTCATCACTTCTCTACAATCCGCTAAATCCTTATTTCAAGATTCGTTAAACTCTAATTTCAAGATTTGCAATGGATATGAGTTATGAGGAGATTTTGAAGACAATTCTAAAAACGAGGGTCGAGTGCATTCGTTCTGTTTTCAATTCATTCCCGGCGTAAGGTTTTATCCTTCTAATGCCGAGCTTTTAGCTAACCTGCATGGGCGGATCTAAGGTTAAAGTAACCCACTTATTTTTAATAAAAATTAGTGGGGTAAGAAATTGATAATATGAAGAATTAATGATTTGTTTAACATTAAATTATTTAATATGAGAATGATAATATGCAAATTTTGTGTAATATATCAATACACATAATTAGATGTGTTAACTATTTACAATATAATATTAACGTAGCTACGCATAATTTGTAACTTTACAAATAATTTCACTTAACTTGTTAATCCGTAAATAATTTTAATATTATTTGTTTTATTTAGCTTTTCATATCTTATCAACTAATTCTATTTCAACTCTGAATTACACAAGCTTTAATTCAGTATATACATTATATAAAAATATTAAAAATAACCGTATTAATTCTATTAATATATAAAAAAACATATACCTTTAACAATGTTTTACAAAATAAAAATGCAATTATTTTTTGTAATGAAAATCATTTTTTTTTTTTATTGAATTATCATTTATTCTGTATTGAAAAACATATAAAAAAGTTGAGTCTTCAAGGAGTTGCTAGTGAATGATTAACCTTGATTTTAGTTGACAGAGGTGGAAAAAGATTTGAGGTCATGCAAAAGACTTGATCTTTCCATTCACTGCTCAATTGCTACCTTCTCCATTCCCTACTCAATTGCTATTTTTGAAGGGGGGCCATATTGATGATACCTGCTTCAGTATTAAGTCATACACTTTTATAGGTATTAAACAATTTTTAAGTTAACGATGTACTGTATTCTGTGCGTAGAAAATTATGCTATGAGAACATTTATATGGTTGTATGTGGGGGAGTAGACTAAGTGCTTGAAATGTCATTTGGGAGTAAAACTATCCAAATTTTAATTTATTTTGGAAATTCTCCTTGAGAAAGAAAGCAACTCCAGTTGGTCAGTTTGGCCAAGGCACTCCAATTCGATGTTTATGGTGCAGAAAAGAAATAATGCAATCAATCAGAGGTGTCTCGAATAAGACCTCCCCTGCGCTGGGGGCATAGTACATGCCAAACTACAACAGTCAAAGGAATGTATATCCTTCGTTTTTTTCATTTTCTACGATTTAATAAAGCAGCCATACAGGTTTGACTATGCATCAATCTAAGGCCTTGGATATGCAGCTTAGATAATTAATAACTTCTCAGCTGCAATAGTCTGATTACCTCCGGCCAAAGACTCCATGCACTATTTGACAATGGAATTCTTGGAGGTATTACTATTACATATACGTCAAACTCTGTTACAGCGGGTATGTACAAATGTCATAGCCCTCATAGGAGCATACAACCTATCATTGTTTTCCTAGAGCTAGATGAAGCAGCCAGAAAGCATACACTATGCATCAATCTCAGGCCCTGGATATGCAGGTAGGCTCATTATTCGCTTGTCAATGACTGGACCTCCAACTGTGAAGTGGTAAAGACTTTGATAATCTGATCCTTTCAGGCCAAGCACCTCATGCACTGCAACAAATTACGGTACTTGTTAACTATTCTTGAAAAGTTGCAATTTGTAAAAGAAGAAGAAAAAAAAAACCTTCATACTACGGAGAACAATTAAAAGGTGTAATTTTCTTTTAGCACCAACTGCCTCCATGACATTTTTTGTTTCACAATTCACATTCTCCCAACCCTCTTGATTGCTATATTGCTAACTGTTTTACGATAACTTTTACCTAAATACAATAGGGAGGTAAGTCTACCGTATGTCACAAAAGATTGTAACTTGCTTCATAATTGTTAATACTTCAATGGTTCAAGCTGAGATTTCAAGGTAAGGTATGAGTTGGAGCCAAGAACATACAATGAGTAAGCCATTAAACCTCTTTGATTAACAAGGAAAATGTTATACGAAGTATAAAGCTCTAAGGGCTATATATAAGGAGCTAGAAGTGAAAATAATAAATAAAACAAAACATCAATTACACGGATGACTCATGAATTTGTCGTACAATCCTAAATTAATACCAATTTATGAAAGGTCAATTTATGAAAGATATTAAATGCTTATTAAGCCCCAAGGGATATATATATATATATATATCATTACCCGAATAGTAAATTAGCTTCCAATAATTTTTTGGGATACATATTAGTATCTAACGGTTGAGACATCATATAATGACAGTTAGTAATACAAGACATCAATAAGAAAGATGATTGGGATCTTGACACAGCATAGAAAAGAGCTGTAAACCTAATTTCTGCTGGATAAAACTAAAGGTCTCCTAAGTCCTGACCAGATTTAAAATCTTTTTATACTGATAAGAGTAAAAATGCTTAGCTTATTTATAAACAAAGATGAAGAATGTACACTTTTTAATCCTTTTCTATGGGCCTACAGGGTCCAATGACACAGAGTGATGATGTTTAGCGATCCTCTCGAACAACTCAAGCAACAAGGAGATCCAATTTCTACCTCAAAGATGTAACAATTCTCTAAATTTTAGTCAAGCTGTATCAAGTAAAGACAGAATTTTAGAAGAACAATACAAAGAGATAGGAGAGCATGAAGGGGAAAGTTTATATCATTACCAGGGTCATCAAAAAAACAGCCAATTCCAGTGGCAGAAATGCCCACCGCATGAGCCTCTAAGTAAAGCACCTGTCCTAGAACACCAGTCTCCCAGAAAAGTCGAGGATACATCCATGCACCCTTTGCCTGCAATGTAGGCTCAAAATGCGATATCATGCCAAGGCTAAAACATCCATCACCAGCAATGTCCTGTGTCCAAATCCAGATGCAGATTCAACAATTGAGTTTGAAAGACATCTAATCACTACACAAATAATATAAGTCACAGAGTTCCGTAAATTGATTGCCTTTACACTTCTTTCTCTTTCCCCCTCTTTATTTATTTATTTATTTAAATCCTCTGATTCTGCCTCATTCCTTTATAGCAAGGTTCAACTCAGCACAACAACAGACCCTAATGGTTTTAGTAGCTTTTGCTAATTTCATTTCATTCATTCATAGTAGTACCTTGATAATCAACACAGGAAGCAATATAATGATGACATGTGCAGGAAGAAAGAAAAAAAGTACTTTCCTGCACAAATCAAAATTTATCCGATTACTAACTAAAACAATTTTAAACATGAATAGAAAAAAATCAAGTTGCTAATTTTGTAACGGTACCTGATGGCAGGAAAGTCTTTTCGAAAGCTCCTTACAGTCACCAGGTGCGAGTTCATAAAGAGGAAGATCGACAGGACAACCCTCAGGTTTCCTCCAAGTAAACTCTGGCCTCATAGCCTTCCTTAGATCATCGAAATGATTTTCATTCCTCACCAAGAAATACAAACCTTTAGGCAAACCTGACACCCTATGAACAAATAAAGCAGCATGTACTTCACTATCCCGAGAAAGGGCTCTAAATGGCAACGCAAAAGGTTTGCCTTGCTTCTCTCCGCTCCTTGATCCGGAGGGGAGACAATG